AGAATTATACACAATGTCTGCCGTGTTGAACAGCTCGATTGCACTCTGTCGATATCTGCCAAATCTACGGCTGCTAGGGCCCACATCGGAAGCTTGTCGGGTTGAGGCTTCGACACGGGCATGAGTGGCTGCGCGGTCCAAGGTGCTAGCAGCTCGGAAGGCCTTGCTTCCGGCAGCATTGGAATCACCGCTGAGAAGGCTGGACACCTGTTCAAGGCGCCCCTGTATACTTTCGAGATTTGGGTAATCAGCTGCGCTCGAGGATTTGGTTTTGATCCAGCTGAAGACGTGAAAGATCTCGTTGGGGTTTCGTGAAGGTATCTCTGTTGGTTTGTCTTCCTTGTCGAACTCTTTGGCGGCCTCATCGCGTCTTCCTCGTGGCGAAGGCTGGTGGCTGCTTTCCTCTGGACTTTTGGTATCCTTGGAAGTCGGAATACGTGCGGGTGCCCGGTGCAAGTCGTGGAGGCGCGAGGAAGGCGTGAACGGCGGCGCAAACCTGCCGAGGTCAACAACGATGATCAGAAATTACTTATCTTGGGTTTGATGAAAACACGACTCACTTGGTCTTCATGCTGAGCGTAATGCTGCTCCGCCCTCGCTGGAGAAGCTTGAAAATATCGCGCCATGTATCCTTAGATACCACTTGCTGGTCGTGATAGAATTCCATTACCGCAGGCCATAGTTCGTGAAAGTGAGCAGCAAAGCCAAGGAACGTCTTGCATTCCTCAGCAGGTAGGGACCATGACAACGAGCCTCCATACTTGACCAGGATGCGGGCGCCCTTGACACCTTTGGAGTTTGGCGGCCGCGGGATCTCTTCCTGGACGGAGATGGCCTTGTCGCGCAGCGTGAGCTCGTCCATCAGCCCGCACGTCACGAGTACAGAGTCGCCGATGACCAAGCACCAGAGCTGCGGGATGTGAAAGCACCAACCCTTGTCTCCGCTGTTGATATGACGGGCCGCTTGCTGCATGTCGCGTTTGTATGCGATGCGAGCGTAGGACGCCTGCAGGAGAGTCTGTGTGGGATACGAACCTGGATTCGTGGAGGCAGACAAGCCAGAGTACCGTTCGAGGGAGAAGTATGGGATGCAGAGCCAGGTGACTGGCGTCGGTGTAATATGATTGTCACGGCTGTCCTTGGACGGAGGGATGTCGAGTTGTCGAACACCAGGGTCCATGTGTCTCACGGTAGTATCTTTGGAAACTCGAATGGGCCTTGACGAGTTCTTCTTGACGTCAGACAGCAGCCGCGAGATGGCCTTGCGCTGAGGCGTTGTCAAGAAGGGAAGTGCTTGGATATCGGCCTTGGGAGATAATCAGAAAATTGACCAACGAGAGCATATTCCAGAGGAGCTTTACCGCTAGAGAGTCAAAGTTCATGATATCCTGTTTCACGTGGCTGAAGCTGGTTAGTCAACGAGGAAGACGTCGATATCCGGAATACGCACAGCCAACGGAAGAGAGACAACGACTCTCCTTCGGGATCGGAACGGGAGGTCAAGGAGATGGAATGATTTCCTTCAAGGTGCCCATCACCTGTGTATTCTGACCGGAAGACGTGGACGGCCTTGTGGGGTCGACTCGTAGAACCTCGCTTCCCTTTTGGCAAGATGGTGCTGGAGGCATCCAAGCTGAGGTCGGCTGGAGCTTCAGGGGAGCTGTCGAACTTGAAGCTGGCGACTCTGGCCATCAAAGTGTCATGAGGTTGAGAGTATGAGTCTCGCCGTACAGCTCGTCTGCGTTCGATCCGTAAAGCAGGTTCATCTTCACCGCCGTATCCTCTGCGTTCTCTGGTTCTCTCGATGATAGGAGGGGGACTTGGAGACGAGTATCTATCGTAGTGACCATATCCATGAGTGAACCTAGGTTTCAGTTCACCCATATCATAGCGGCTATCATAGCGGCGAGATCTGCGACGAACTGGTGGACTGTAGCTTCTGTCATCACGGGGGCCGTACGTCCTCTCTCGGGAGCGGGCCGGGCCCGCGCGGTTGTCCTCATAACGGATGGCTGTAGGAGCGGTGTGACGGATCACATAGTCGAGCTCGCGAGGTCGCCGTAAGGGGCGGTCGTCTATGACCTCGTATTGCATGAAGTCGGATGATGCTTGAGGTACCTTAGGTAGGGTAGGTAGGTAGCGCTAGCGAGTGGTGGTTTGTTAAAGACCCGCCAGGTCGAATCGCGTGCTGCTGGTTGGTTGGCCGAGTTTGCTGTGAGGATGACGCAGAGGCAGGAAGGCGCGCCTGGGTTCTGATGATCGTGATTGCCAGAAAGTGCTCAATCTCAAATGTACCGGTAAGGCGGCTCGTGAGAATGAGAACTCAACCTCATGGAGACCAAATTTTCAAGCAGATGAGGAGAAGACCGTCAGCTCAGCCGCATGACCACAGCCAAATCCATCACCATGCAGGAGCAATCTCCAAAGGTACAGGGGGTCATCGTTGCACAGCTCCTGCATGCAGGCCCGTGCTCGGGCTGACAGCTCTCGCTGACAAGACCACACCATTTGGTCCAGCGTTGACCCTACATAATCGATGCCAGCCATGGGGTGATTGTCTATCGAGATGATGATTTTTTCTCTCGTTCTCGTAAGAAGAATGCAAAGGCATGGGCGACAGCTGAGATGCGATTACTACCTGATGAAGATTACAAGCGCTAACATGTGTGACCGATCTAGAGTACAAGAAAAAGTGCGACAAGGAAGACACGAAAAGCCATAGAAATCGAAGCGCTGCACGGCATTACTCGCTAAACTTCCATGCGTCCAAATCTGCGGTGCTGTTGAAGGCAGCCAGGTCAACGAAATGCACCTGGCGATTGCCATCGCGGCCAAATTGCTCAGCGGTAGCATTCAACAGGAACATGGAGCTTGCAATGTCCCTTCCAGCAAGCAAAGCAGGGAAGCTGGCATTGAACTTTTGGAAAATCTGCTCTGGCGTGAACGTGCTGGGTCCCTCTGATTCTATCTGCTTCTGCCAGAATCGTAGGTATTTGCGGGTGAAGTCCAAATCAATGGTGGGGCCGAACTTCTTATTCGACAGCGAGTGGCCGGGAACGATGACCTTGGGCCTGAGGTGCTGAATGAAATCGAGCGTGGACAGCCACGATTCGGTCAACTCCGGTGTCAGGAGATCGGCCAACCAAAGGTGCACATCGTGGCCATAGACCGCGTCGCCGGCAATGAGGGTGCGAATCGATGGCACCCAGAAGATAGTCTCATCGACAGTGTCGCCGGTCAAGGGGCTAAGAAGGTGGATGGGGAACTCCTCATCTCCTGGCAGGGTGAAGAATGTAAAGTCGTACGGCGACGGGATGGCGACCTCTTCGACGATGTTGTCGGCTCCAAAAGCTGCGCCTACGGCCTGAACCTACATCCACCAATAAGTCACAGCTCTCGGGGCCATCGCATTCATGGAAGTGAGCTCACCTTGCTTGCAGCCTCCACACGAATCTGTGCCACAGCTTTAGAATTGGCGTAGTACTTGGTGTTGGGAAAGCGTTTGAGAAACTCGGCACCGCTGAGGTAATGGTCGGGATGAAAGTGCGTTGTGAAGGCAGCAACAAGAGGCTTGTCTGTGGTATTCTTGACCCAGGCAGCGAGCTCTTCCGCTTGAGGAATAGCCATGGGCATGTCGATCACTACAGCAGCTTGAGAGCCGATGATCAGCGACGAGACCATGTCGAGGGACAAGCCGCTGTTGACGTGGGTCTCTACACGAATCCTGGAGGAACAGGCGCCGCGGACCATGGCAGCTGTGGTGGCTAGCAGGCCCAGAGAAGAGAGATTGGGAATCATGGTATTTTTAGAGTTTTTTTTTTGATCTTGGTAAAGCAAGCAAGGTATGAAATTGCTGCCCAAAGAAGGCGATTTCTTCGGTCAAGTGTTATTTCGTCACGTTTTGTGTACAGCAACTCAAGATGGACCATTCGTCAACCTTAATGAACCTTATATACCATTTTCTTGCCATATCGACCTTGCCGTATGACCTACGAGCTATGTGCCTTGAATGCCGTGTCACACTCGGAAAGAGTCAGCTCACTTGGTCAACTAAATGGCTTACAAACGTCCCGTCGGAAAGATACACCAGGTGCATTTGTTGGCTGCCATGTAGCTCGTTGATTTTCGAGTCAGCCAACTGCCGTGACCGCAGGCCGGTGGGGCCGGTTCACTTCCACATTCGCAAAGAACGAACCGGGAGCAAATTGGGTCCGATGTGGCTCTAGCACTCACGCCAGGTTGTCTCCATCGCCAATCCAAGGTAATCATCAGGCTTTTGAGTGGGACATGATTCTACGTCCCCGTCTGCCGTCTGATCGGCCAACTATCCTGCCGGCACCGAGGATAGCTATTTGTGATTAGGCGGCAGGTGGTTATACCGGCACTGCCTGCGCTTGCGTTATAGGATGAAGGAAACGGGGAGATCATAACAAAACAAGCGGTTCAGCGATCATTACTCAAGCTATGAGTGTGTGCAATGTAGGTCCTGTGCTTAGGATGAAATTCACTGAACCACGGACGACGGCCATGGCGCGTATCATCTCACCGAGATGGAAAGCTACACTCGCTGTTGATGACCCCCTCCTGCACAATCCCGAGCTCGGGTAGTGGTACTGTACCCATTGGATGAAGGTAGGTAGCTTGGGTAGGTAGTCAAGCTAATTACCTTTTAGGTAGGTACCTTGTGGTGTCTTGGTGTGGGTCTGCTTCGCCATACCCCACATCCTTAGATTTCCACTGTTGGTGCACACAGTGACTGATTACTAGGTTTCGAGATGATTGTCAAGTACCTGCATCCGCAATCTTGCTTTGATTCAGCGTCTGGACGGGCTGAACCCATAGATTGTAGATCCAACTGTACGTACATACCCTTAGCTATTCATATACACGTGGTGCGCAATTGAGGTTGATGATGATATCGTCTGGTCAAGCTTGGCTTCTTCCTGTTGGAGAGGGTCAAGTGCGGAAAAGGTGTATGTGTACCGTATTCCGTGAATATTCTACAGCGTAGGAGGATGCTTAGAGCTCCCTACCTTCAGGTACAGTCATGCGACAAAAAAAAAACGACGGATTTCCGTTCCCACACGAAAACACATAGTTTTCTAACCTCTATTACTTATTCTATAGATCACTATAAATAATGATTCTAATAATACTAGTAGAACTTTACTGAATCTATAGCGTCTACTACTTAGATTATGAATTGCTAATCTATTTATTTTATAATAGTATTCTAACGGTTAAATCAGTATCTTTTCATAACGGCAATCCGTCGTTCTTTTTGTCTCCCCACTGTACCTATGTATCTAGTAGGTAAGCTAGAGACACTGAGCACACGGGCAACCTGCCACCAGATGAATGCCACTGACCAAATGAATGTCACCACCAAGACTTCCAACCATCACTCTGGCTGTCTGGTAGGCCACTCAAAAGTACGCCAATATGTTCGAATACGGAAGCATGGCAACCGTCTTTTGCACCTGTGCTCGATCTGTCACATCCATTTTGACAATACGGACGTTGGCTCCGGTCGACCGCAGTTCCTTGAGCCAATGCGGATCTTGGGCCGGATTACGACTAGCAAGTACAATATGGCGAGCACCGCCACGGATCATAAAGCGACAGTGCGACTGGCCAAGCTCACCAGCCATTTCAACAAGGAAGTATGTTTTGGCAGTGGAGAAGAGGCTGCTTGTTTCGAGGGGTCGGATGACTGCGCTGACTGGCTCATGGCGTTCCCAATCCAATACCAGAGACAGACGGTGCCGATTAGCCAGAAGCTGACGCGGAGCTTCAGCAATGTTAAGAACCATTATGGCAGATAATTCGCTGGCTTCTTCTTTGGCTGATGAATGGTACGTGTCATGCGCTTTGCCCAGTACAGCAGCGACCTCCTTGCTAGGTTCGTGAAGAAGACTTCTAGGATCATAGGTCTGAATGACGCAAAACACGGCAGGAATTCCACAATCGTTTCGAGGTTTTCCTTTGACAAGTTGATGACCAGTGATGTGTCCTTAGGGATCAGTCTTCGGGCGACTCGAGCAGCGGCCCGAGGATGCAACATGATCCAGTCTTCTCGGTTCTTTTCGTCAACCGAGTCGACAGCGACGAACAGAATGCTGTGCCCTGTTCCAGCTGCTACAGCGGAGATGGCGTGGGCCATGCCCACTGTAGCCCCGAAGACAAGGGTCGTACCGTGCTGAGGAACCCTGCGGACCACTTGCAAAGCAATTAGGGCAGATGCCGTGCCCACCAGGCTTTCACCATTGATAGCTTGCGCGTCGCAGCACTCTAGAAGGCTTTCTGTGGGGGCAACGACCGTTGAAGAATCGATTGCAGACAGTACGAGAACCTCGCCGACATCTGCTAGCTGACCTGAGCTTTGTACACGACCGAAACAAAGGAAGCATGGGTTTTCGACACCAGTTTGCAACGCCAACGAGAACTTGACATCGACCGCCGTATACCTTTCAGGAACCGAGAGGCTGTCACCAGTGAGCAGCTGTGGTAGCTGCGAGGAGGGGTCACTAGAGTCGATGGTGATCCTCTCCGTTGTGACAAGTTTGCTTATTTTCCGACGCTTGGCGTTAAGTGTCTCGTTGGCAACGTGGTCGGGCACAATACGAGGCACAAGTATCTCATCGCCTTTGACCAGGACCTCTGGCTCTTCGCTCCAGAGCATTTCTTGCGTAGTCGTCGACGACGCCAATGTGAAGGCCATTAGAAGAACGTGGCGCACAAGCACGTCAGCGTTCCACGCCTCAGGCCGGTCGAAATCGAGATAATGCATGTTTCCGTGCGGCAATTCCACTGCGACCAGCATCTCTATGTCGACGCTCTCTGGATGCTCATCGATAAGCTTTAGGATGGTCTCACGGTCGTCATCCAACCACCCTTCACGCAGGATCGCATGCCTTTTCTCCCGAGTTGTGGACAACGTGGTATGTATGTAGCTGAACAACTCTTGGTGGTACCACGATGCGGACTTTAGGTCCTGGGCGGAGAGCTCGCGAATGAGGTTTTGCATGTAAAACAGAGTGATTCGCTCACACGCGTCTATCACAGTCGAGGAAGCAGCCTCATTGGCTGGAGTCGGCGGTGTGACAGCAAGACCGTAGGCGCTGTCAACGTCCCAGATGGTCTTGACAAACAGGTTACGGTCTTCAGACGGCTGTGGTTCGGCAATCGCTTTGAGTATCAGGCCATCGATCTGAATACCGCAACTCTGCGTTTCGTTGGTTTTCTTAGCACATAAGCTGATGTCAACCTCAACAACGCCAGCATTTGCAGTCGACATCATGGCCTCAATTTCGATATTCGTTGAGCCGGGCTCGTCCTCGTAGTTCTGGTTGGGATTGATGAAGGCTCGTCGAATTCCAACTGGGAGCAAGGGGCTTCTCATTGACTTCTCTGCGGTGGAAAGAAAGGTCCCTAGCCCGACCTGGAAAGCAACGTCAAGAACAGCAGGGTGTAGGGAGCAACCAATGGCGATGTCATCGCTGGACCAAGAAGCGGATGCCTTGGCATGACCCCAAGATCTACTGATGGAATGCAATGCGCGAAACGCTCCATCGTAGCCAAGGTCGATCTCCGAAACAGCTCGATAAAATCTGTCGGTGTCCAGAGGTGTAAGTTCGGTCTGTGATATAGGATTTGCAGGCAAATCTTCAGATCCAGTAGGACCAAGATGGATGAATAAACGGGCATCGCACGTCTTGTCCAAAACGCGTTCATACGAGCAGCTACAAGCAACGAACTCGGCTTCTAAGCTTGAGCCGTCTGACACCGATGTGTGAAGCGTCTGGCTGCGCATCGTGAAGACGACTTCAACTCCTTTGTCCTCGCCGATGACCAGTGCTTTGGGTATATTCATATCTCTGGCCTCAACCAGTTTAATGGGGCGGCCCTGGACGAAGGCTTTGGACGCCTCTACGGCGATACTGACATAGCCGGCTCCAGGAAAGAGAATTTGTCCCTAGAACGTATGCCCTATCACCCGCGGCATCTCTTTCACGTAGAAGAAGTTTCGCTACGTCTTCTCGTATAGAGTATCCTCACGCTGACGGCCGAGCAAAGTATATAGTGGCTTACCACCTATACGCATATTACGTGAGAGACGGGATTCTAGCTAGTATACTTGGTCATGGTCCTACGTATACGTAGGCAAGCCCTTAAGAGGGGTCCGTTGCCTGGGCAAGTTGAAACTCTCTCGCCAAGCACTAAAGTCGATGGCAGAGGGCCTCAGGTAGCTCCAAGCCGTCCCGAGGGCCGTTGATATACTCTTAATGCCACCTTTCTCGCGCTCTAAGCAGCCGACGTAGGGAATAGGAGGCATCGATAATAACTTAATAGATTAGCTTACTAGACCCTTTAAAGCCGGATATAGTCTAACTTCGATTACGATCGCAAAATATACCGGAAAGCTCTAGACTATAAGCTGAATAGCGTCGGAGAATAGGACTGGTTGGACTATATTATTAACCTAGTACTAGTCTTCTTAATCTTTTTAATAAGCAGAATGAGTGACTATGTTAGTGTTGTTCCGCATACTGGAGAACTATATGTATGCGTTGTCCTTAGCTGGCTTGCGGACTTGCACCTTAAGCTGCTAAAGAAGGACTAGGTAAGCTTCAGCGTACTTAAGCATGTAATGTGAATAGTAGGCTGTATCGACTATGAGCTGCCTAGCCTGGATTTTCTTTGCCGTTAAGACACCCTTAGTCTCTTCGATAGCGTCCAAGTTACTAGATAGAGTGACGCTAGAGGGCGCGTTGCTCGCTGCCATACTGACCCGTCCCTTGAATCGGGCCTCTGAGCAGAGCGACTTAGCATCTTGAAAGGTCAAGGCTGCCGCTATCATGCCTCCCGCCTTCCCACCCGGCCCCTTTGCCAGATGGGCCACTTGACCGCGGTAGTACGCGATACCCATGGCATGCCTTCGGCTCAGAAGTCCAGCTGCATACGCAGCACCGGTCTCGCCAGACGAGTGGCCAACAACGGCAGCGAACTCCATGCCGACTGTTTTCAGGAGGTCGACAAGGGCAATCTGAAGGGCCGTGCAAAGAGGTTGGGAGATGACGGCCTGCGAGAGACGCGAAACCTTCTCTTCCGCAACCAGTTCCTCAATCAATGACCAAGTAGGACCTTCAGGAAGTGATTTCAAGTCGACCTCGCATTTTTGAATGGACTGGCTGAAAGTTTTGCAGTGTTGCACCAAGTGTCGGCCCATCTGGGCAGCTTGAGCACCGTGTAATAGCCAATCCACGTTAATTACCTTCGTCACCTAATTGTAGAAGCTCAAAGGCAGAGCTAGTTGGAGTTTTGGATATTGAACTGACCTGTTTTGTGAAGATACCGAGGATCCCTGGCTGCTTGGTCGCACCGGGCTCATTCAAGGCCCTGACGCCAAACGACTCACTGGATTGTGCGCTTGATGCGAGTTTGACATGTTCCTCCAGGCTGTCTAGTAGTGTCTGGCGACTTGTCGTCGCCGGAATCACTATTCTGTATGTCAAAGCGCTTCGCTTTGAATGCAGCACGCTGCTCAAGGAATCCAAATCCAGTGCCGGGTTAATGCGCAGATGGTCTGAGGTTTGTCGAAGTGACTGGGAAGGTGACGTGCGACTCCTGGCTAAAAACACAAACGGGCCGACGAGACCGAATTTATCAGCTTCTTGCCTAGCTACCAATGTGGCAGCGGCCGTTTGTTGCGAGGACGGAAAAGTCTCAGTAGGAGTGTCATAGCTTTCGACAATAGTGTGGGCATTTGTGCCGCCAAAGCCAAAGCTGTTGACGCTGGCGCGACGAGGCTGACCATGGGTATCCGGCCACGCCAGGGGCGACGTAGGCACGCAGAGGTTTGTGTAGAAAGGTTTGACGGCTGGGTTTAGCGCATCGAAATGGATGTTGGGTGGGATGACGCCGTGTTGGACCGCGAGGGATGCCCGAAGAAGGCCGGCTAATCCAGCGCAGCCTTCGAGATGACCTGAAACACCGTGGTCTGGTATGTCTCAGGTAACTCGACTGCCTGCTCATCATAAGCTGCAAGTAAAGATCTACGAGCTCACCGCAAGGTAAAACCAGGGCTGTAAATCGGGTGTCTTGCATAACAGAATACGTGCAGTATGGTTTGATCACGTAGTATTTAAAGACGCATGCGTTCGGGCTGTTTCATCGACGTCGTAATCACGGTGACTGGTGTCGCCAACCTAATACCTCGCTTACACGCTGCAGTGGAACATACCCAAGGACAAGACGAGGAGTCTCTGAGTAGACGTCTGGACTTTGCAACTGAACGCCTCTCTCACTCCCTGTAGACGGGCCTCATGCTTCATGACGCAGTGATACTCTAAATCCCATAACAAAGAGTGGAACTCATCACGGTTTTTTTGGTATTGCGCAAACCATGTTGTCTTGGATCTTGACGCAGACGATACTCGCATGGATGACATGTGCCTTGCGTTCGATATCTCAACAGTAAACACCATTACCGAGATGCTGATAGGTGATTATGAACTGTCGCAGACTTTTCAGGTGACATGAATCAACAATCTGCTCAGCCAAGCAGGGTACGACTTCAGGCCGTGTTGAATTGGTGAACATCTCTTTTCTTACTGACTGATTCAGACCTCCACTCTTCACTCAACATGACGATATTGACTGGCTCAGAAGACGCACGACGTCGTTCGTCCGGAGGTACTTGATCCGATATTGCTAAGCCATGTGGCATCACGGTGCGATCAGAGTGAATAATCAACGGAATCAATCCTGAACTCCTATTGAACCGATTGATGACCAAGCTATGCTGCTGCTTCCTCCCTCTGCCCCCCTTGGACAGAGCTCATGCCAACTTTCAGCAACCATGTCATACTCCTTGGTCATCATTTTCCTATTGCTTCAGACGAAATGATAGGGCTTGAGAGTCCTGGCGATTTCGGCCTGGCTCATCTGTTTGCCGAGAAGGGACCAATTGTCACAGTCGCTCTCCCGAATGGTACCGAGCGAGCGAAGGTGCCAAACCCAAGCCCTCCACGGGAACCTGCCATACTGCTGCGTGATCCAGAACATGTCGACGAATGGCTTGACGCAAGGCTGGCGGTTCATCCACGGCACGATGATCAGATTGAGCCGGGCAATGAGAACGTGCATCCGGCGCAGACCCGCGCGGTACTCCGGGATGACTTCCTTCCAGAGGCACGTGTTGCAGTGACGAAGCGGCACCTCGCACCATCCGATCTCAATGCCAGTGGTGAGCACCATGTTGCACAGAGGCCCGTTGTGAGAGACGTGCTCCCTGAGCCATTCGACGTGCTCCTGAACCTTGTTGAGATGATATTGCTGCTGGCGAGTCATGCCGTAGGCGACAGCAAGAACGTACTGGTTTACGTTGCATTGGATATGGGTAAGGTGGAAGGGCGAGCCAGCATTTCTCTCGCACTCGTCGACCTCTGGGAAAGGACAATGTGGTTAGCAAATGCATTGCACACTGGGCAAAGACTACCCACTATGGTTGTAAAGAAACCTGAAGACCTGGCCAACAACGCCAGAAGGTCCGTCTCCGAGACAGATGTAGACAGGTTTGCCGTCCTAAACCCGTGTCAGTACTAATTATCAGCTTTTTGATACAAGACATACCTTGTTCGGGGGAGGCAGGCCGCCCGGACGACTAAACCAAGTCGATTCTCTGATGAGCAGCTCGCGATGAACCGGAATCTCAGTCTCTCCAGTGACCTCATCGGGCTTTGTGAAGAACATGATGACGTCGGCCGTGTCCTGGGTAAGCGAGAGTCTGCTTGTGGTTAGCTGGGGGTTGTGATGAAGCAAAGAACCGCAGATCAGGAAGCAACTCACTTCTGGAGACGGCGAAGATCAAGAGCAGACTGCACGGCCCACTGAACCTGGGCTCTGCGCTCTTCCACGGTGAGCCTCGAAGGGTGAGGCTCGCTGTTGGGCAGCTGCGGGGCAGCAGAGAGCTTGTAGCCTTCCATGATGCCAGTGAAGGCGTCAGTGGTTTCGACAGCTTTACCTTTGCCCTTCGGATCATTTCCGTCCTGCTGGGCAGGAGCCGAAATTGTCTTGTTGTCGGCGGCGTCCGGTCCCTGGGCCTTCCCGTTCTTCTGGGCCTCCTTGCCCTTGACAGCGATGATATCATCAAGGCTCTTTTCGATGATGTTGTTGACACACTCGTCAACGTTCTCTGGGGCCACGCCTTTGAGGCGGACCATCAGACCAAGTTGAGTGCCGAAGTCACCAAGAGCCAGTTTGAACTCTTCAACCCTGGACATGGAAGCTCCGGCGGAAGGAGCGGCAGACGAGGACGAGGCACCCTCGTTGGGAGCAGGACCGGGAGCGGTGCCGGCCGAGTTCTGAACGGGCACCTCGGGGGCAACCACGATGTTTTCTTCAGCTGCCATGATGATATTGTTGTTGTTGTGGCTAGCGTTGAGCTCAGTCTTAACCTTGGGCTCACAGTCGTTGTCACTGTCGGTGTCGTAGGAAAGAGGAGGACCAAATTCCTCCAAGGTGGCGGCGGTGACTTTGTTGGCTTCGTTCTCCGCCCACGAGAATTTGACGCCCTCTTCAAGGGCCTCTGCGGTGGTCTCTGCGGCCTTGCGTGCGATGGCGGCCCAAGTCGCCATTGTCGGTGCTATGCTGCGGCGGTGATTCTGGTTGTTGCAGTTGTTGTTGTGAGACGCGGATGGCGACGGTCGGCAGTGTGGGTTGGCGGACCGTTGGTGGATAGGCAGAAGCACGTCTGGGTGGAATAACTCACTGGGAATAAAGCCTGGGCCATCTTGGGAACGCGAAGCAAACTCTTGAGGAAGGAGCGCGATTCCCTCGCATTCACTGCAAGACTTAACATGGCAGCCGGGTACGAGTGAATGGCGCGCGACAACATATGTGGACATAGCAGCGGGATGCCTGAAGAGCCGAAGAGTCCTATTCACTTCAATGTAGCATAGCAACCAATATGGTTTTAGCGATATGTCAAAGTCCTTTGCTTTGGACGCTATCTTCTTGCTTGAACACTCATGGCAATGGTTGTACTTTCTTTGTGTTGACAGCTTGTACAGCTTTTGTTTGAAGTTTACAACCAAGCTTTCTCAAGTACAATCATGTGAGTTTAACTACAACCTTTCAAGCACAGCCTTTTGATAATCTTCATTCACAGTCACTCTGTGTTAACGAAATGCATCATCATCAAGACAGTTCAACAGATTATACGGATGTGAACTACGGAAGCCATGAGATCTGCCAGTCCTATCTCATGAGTCTGAGCTCCTCGTACCCGTCATTTCCTTTCATTCTTGAATGCTGTGTTGATCCCGGCGGTCGGGTTTAGGATCGGAAAACGGCATATAGCAAGACCATGGACGAAAGTTTTCGTCAAACACGCCCTGCAGAGTACCACCTTAGAAAAATAATCTACCATCGCGAATGGTACTTGCAATAAAGACAGCATATTGAAGACCAATCGATCAAGTTCCATTCTGTAAGAGCCAGTGAAAATACGGAAAAGCGCCCCAAGCCAGACCTACCCAGACCTCAAGGCCACTCCATCTACCCTCGGCATCTATGAGAGTAAAATTGATGAACGACATCAAGTCCAGATAGAGCTGTATAGATTCCACGGGCCGGACGACGGTTGTGTCCAGCTGCCGGCCGCATTTGCCTCAAGCTCGAAGTAAAGTATCGCGCCATCAAACCATTTGTGTTGACTTGACCGTTTTTTGCAATCGAAATCCATTTTCTTGCTGTCTCTCTAGACACCAGGGAGATCTTCCATGGCGGAATCGAGTTTGGCGACAATGTCAGTGATAGAATACGACGTATAGAGTCCAGTAGTATTGGACGTGTCACTATCGTGCTAGGTCCCAATGCTGCATCGTGGCCTTGTGTGAAGCATGCAATAGTTGATGGATCAATTTATAATGTGCATGAACACCAGAACGGCATCACAGAAATCCTTCCCGCATGGCACGGTTTGCATACTACCATGAACTTGCTCCCTGTCAGATCAAATGACGTGGCTTCTTCTGCGTAACCCTGCCCCATCCAACCTTTGGTTTCTCTCCTCGCACTTCTCCGTACACAAGGAAGTCGATCAAGTCCGAAAGCTCACCAGCTGCATTCAATGACTACTCAAAAGACAGGAGCTATATCCGAACCCGATGGAGACAAGGTATCCTCCGTCACCTACGAACAAAAGGCCAGCCTTTCTCAGTCGCCATGTGGCCAAGGTCAGCCCCCTCCAAGGACGCTTGCAGCGCCATATGGCAGTGTCGACAGAATACTGCAGATATGCGCCATCGCGTATCGGCAATAGCTGGCTGCTGAAACTTAATGGTCCAGAGACAGACTCCTGCGAGGTGAAATAGGGTTCCATACATATGATGCGAGAGCCCTAGGTGTCAGTCGCGTTGTGCGGGCGTTGTGCAGACGCTGTATGATCGATTGCCCTGTTGCTATGGGGGTGCATACTTAGTTACCGCGCTTGGGTGCTGGTGCTGGTGCTGGTGCTGATGCTGGTGCTGGTGCTGGGGTCTAGGTGGCCAGAGCCATCAATTTACCAGAGGCAAAGCAGGGGTACGCACCGACTGTCTACCTCACACGATCCAAATTCAGCCAGCCAGGAGGAGCTCTACACTTGCCGTGGGAACCTCTCCCCCCAAGGGGCAGGTGAGCGTTTGCTTCGGCAAGAGCTCGACTGGACCCTCGTCAGCCTGCAGGAGCTTGGCTGGACCCTGCCTAGAACCTGCCTCGACTGGCTGGCCCCCTTCTCTTTCCTCTACCTCCCTCCCTCCTAGGTACCTACCAAAGGTAGCTACCTAGGTAGGTAGATAAGTACCTTAGCTCAGTCGTGGTGAGGTACCTACTTACCTACCCCTACCTTAGAAAAGGTAGGTCGGTAGGAAGAAGCAGGAAGCTCCCTAGGAACTTTTTGATTCTGGATACAGTAAGCCTTGTTCAGTGTCGGAGCGTTGTTAGAGCAGAGTGAAGAGGTCTTCTACACGTGGCCCGCAGATAGGTAGAAGATCGGTAGGGGGTTGGAATACATCTGAAATGTGGCCCTCCGCAGCTTGGAGGGCCCTCCGCAACCTATACACACACACACACAAGTTTATTACGCCTGGTGGCCTAGAGCCAATAAGGCACTATTTGCTATTGTACACGGTCGCTTCCTCTAGTCTGTCCGAATCTCCCAAGCCCATAATAGGTCATCTTTCCGCTCTTGCTTTCTCGTCTTCTGTCTTGCCGCCGGTTTCTCGTGGGGTTTAGATTGTATTGGCAAGCTGCTTGAAGGCTATTCTTCAAGTGTTCAGAGTCCTATCTACGGCGACTGAAGCGGCGCTTACTGTTGTTGACACGAGGTGTGGGTGTTAGGTTCGGTTAGTAGAAGAAGGGGGGGTTTTGGTGTGTTAGGCCCCCGCAAGGGATCACACGTTCTCCAGTCGGCCCGTGGCCTTCGCAAAGCGTATCGTAGCTCGGACTGCTTTCATGTCCGGCTTCCAATCATCACCATCTGATGTCGTCTTACCTCCCAAATGGAAGGAGATGTTGTCTCTTTGTGTGCCAGGGCGCATGAGTGTCTCGGCTCGTTGTGTTGCCCATCGTGTGCATCGGAGGAGAAAGTGCTCCACCGTCTCTCTCGCTTGTCCGCATGCGCATTGGGCTGAAGCTACTGCCCTGATTCGGAAAAGTGAGGCGTTCAGTCTCGCCATGCCTGTCCTGAGCTGGGCCAGCATGCTCGCCTCCATCCAGGAAAGGTTATCATATAGTTCTCGAGTGTGCTTGCCGGGTAGTGCTATGTCGACTTCCTTCGAGAGTTTTCCAACATTATCTGGTAGTCGTCTTTCCACACGTAGTTTGCGCCTTGCAGCGTTGAGGGTGGTGGATCGCATCTTTGGGAACTGTTTTTCAGGCAAGGCGCCATCTCGGCTGGCCTTGCGTGCTTCTCCTTTCGCTTTCTTCAGGAGGTCGTCGTCGAGATGGCTCGGAAGCCACACGACTGAGATGGTGTTCCCGGTTTCTCGCAGTCGGGTGATCGCCTCGTAGATGCAGCGAACGTACTCTTGTCCAGACTGTTGTTGGGGGTTTCGAAGTGTCAGCACCGCGGCTTTGTTGCTTGTCAGTAGCGTCACGGTCTGCCCCCTCAGCTGCGGCAGAAATCGCAACGCGTATGCTGCCGCTACCAGTTCTCCGGAAAATGGGTTCTGATCGGTCCTCATGCCGTGGGTGAAGGAAAACGTCTCGAGCCTCGTCCCTGGCCCCTTGACGGTTCCACCGACGCCGACCACCTCGTTTCGTGCCGAGCTGCTCACAGCGATGCGCACCGTGGCCTCCTCATCGACCCGCGTCAGTGTTGCATCCTCGTCGTTCCATTCAGTGACGGTCTGCACTCTTTCCATCCACGGCGGCAGTGTGAATGGGTTGATTGTTTCCAGGTCCTCCATTGGAATTTCGTTGAGCGAAGTTGCCAGTTGGAAAAATGGTGAGCGGTGGAAGCGCCTGAACTTCTTTATGCGAGAGGTCAGTTTTCGAAGCGGGTTGGTCTCAGGCAATGCGTGGAGATCTGTCCATAGCTTGATGGCCCTTCTCGTGAATCGCTCTGGTGCACTGGCGATGTGAGCCTCCGCTTCTGCTACGCTTGTGGCTATCGTGACGAACGCTCCAATAATTGCCTGCGCTCCGACCTTTTGGACGCGATAGATTGCTGCTGCCGTCCGGTCTTTGCATCGGTGCCTCCAGACGTTAGAGGCATAGTCCACCACTGGGGCCACGGTGGCCGTGAATAGCTGCCGTGCTGTCGCCGGGGTCAATCCTCTCAGTCGTTTCAGCTCCATCGCAGCCTCTAGTCCCTTGGTCGCAACTCTTGCAATGTGTTCCCTGTATCTGAGTCCAATGTCCATGATCACGCCGAGGATCTTGACATGCTGTTTGGGTTTGACTGTTTGGCCCTTGATAGTGAAAGGTTCCGAATCGGACCTTTTGGCCCATCGGGTGAAGTGGATGACCGCCGTCTTGTCCGCTTCGAAAGTCGCCCCGCTTCTCTGCTCCCAGTCCAGTGCCTTCTCGATGATCGCCTCGATCCCTTTACGGTTGTCTTGCGTGGTTGGTCCAGCGACCCAGGATGTGAAGTCGTCGACAAAGGCTATAGCTCCTCCATAGCAGTTGATCTTCTGTTGTACAAGGTCGGCGTTGAAGAACAGAAACAGGATCGGTGACAGTGGCGATCCTTGCGGTAGTCCAGCCTGAGGCAGGGTCCGGACCTCTGATGCTTGGCCGTTGACCTGAATTGTCGCCGTCCGATCGGAGCAGAATGCCTCTACCCAACGGAGCAAATCTTCTGGGAGGCCCCTCGCTCTCATTCTCTGAATGAGTCTCTCTTTGCATACTCCATTGTATGCTCCCTTCACATCGAAGCTCACGAGGCTGACCACCCAACGATTTCTCCATGCTGCGTAGATTTGTTCTTGCAGCAACACCAACGCTTGTTCTGCTGACCTCTGTTTGCGGGCCCCGAAGTGGTTCGTGGGCAACAGCCCATGGGTTTCGACTGCATGGGATATCCTCTCCGCAACAACCGACTCGAGAACCTTGCCGAGCGTGGCGAGGAGCGAGATGGGCCTCCAAGCCTTGGCGATGGTGTAGTCTCCTTTGCCGGGCTTCTTGAGCGGGATGATCTTGGCATGCCTCCATTGGTCGGGGAGTACTCCTTCCTCTAGCGATGCGCGGAAAATCGCAAGGACACTGTGCTTGACGGCTGGCCAAATCTGTTTCCAGACCATCGCCGGCAACCCGTCCTCACCGGGTGCTTTCCACGATTTCGTCGCGAAAAGCCGGCGCTCGACTTCTTCCATCGTGATGTCAGGCATGGTGACAGCCGATTCGCGCTGCGGCCTCTCACCCTCCTCTTCGATGTGCTCTGGTGGGGGCGGGAAGAAAGTCGTAAGCAATTCTTCCGCTTGCTCTTTGCCGTTGGTCGTCCGTGTGCCATCAGCCTTTACAAGCTGCGGCACCTTGCCGAATGCCGCGTCGTCGCCCGACTTGAGATACTTGGCGGCCTTCCAGATGTTGTCGTTGTCGGCCAGAAAGTCGTTCCAATGGGTTTTCTTCTGTTGTCGAATGGCACCGTGGTATTGTTTCGCTGCTCCCTTGGCCGTGTTCTCCAGTGCTTCATCGTTCCGTCCTGCCCGTCTCGCTGCCCTCGCCCGGTTCCTCCAATGTGTGTGGATGTGGCGGAGCTGCGTAAGATCCGCCGTCCACCACCGCTTCGCGTGTGGCGATGGTTTGG